GACTCTGGGCCAAGTCTTTAAATGCTTTCAGAGCTCATTGTAAAAGCTATCCCACATATGTTTGCACGGTCTGTTTTAAAGCATCATTTGAAAACCAAGTCAAGCGCTGCAAGAGGTCACTTTACAAAATAAATCCTCACGTGGTTGAAAGGTGTTTAACAGGTCGATATGTTCACATTTGTGACAATGAGTGCCTTAAACAATCATGTAATGTACCTGAGGAGAGGAAATCTGAGTGGATTTGTCTCACTTGTCATTTATACCTAAAGAGAGGATCCATGCCTGCTCTCGCTGTAGCGAATAACCTGGAACTAGTGGATATTCCCCCTGAGTTGTCTGTTTTAAACACAGCAGAAAGACACATGGTGAAAAAAGTCATTTCATTTCAACGAGTGGTGATTCTCCCTAAAGGGAAACAGAGATCTATAAAAGGAAACGTTGTTTTAGTGGCTAGTGATGTTGATGATGTTGTACGGACTTTGCCCCGAGTTATAGGACAGTCTCAGACTATACGGATCAAAATAAAGAGAAAGCAGTCTTATAAAGGACATTACATTATGCAGACTGTAAACTGGCCACGAGTCGTCAGAGCTTTGGAGGTACTGAAGAAAATGAGTCCATGTTACCAGGATATTAAAATCAATCATGATCAAGAATTATGTGACCCCACACTCCAACCGGACAGTGACAGTGACAGTGATGACATGAGAGACGGTGATTTTAATGACGCTGATTTAATGGAGATTGATGCTTTTGAGAAAGATGCACTGTGTGATGAGAAATCTGCATCAAATGATGGTGTTGAGCATGAAATGGAGATTGAATCAGATAATCACGTTGAGATGAACAGTGATTTAGATGATGGGATGGAAGCTGAGCCAAGTCATGAGGTGGACAATGAATCAAACAATCCTGTTGAGAGTTACAGTGAAGTGGATGACAATGAGATGGAAACAGAGTCACATGATCACATGAATGAGATGGACAGTGAACACGATAACCAGGAGATGGACAGAGAGTCAAATAACAATGACAATGATGAAAATGAAACACAGCAGGGAGATGATGAAGCAGATACGCCATGTGGTGGAGTTGCTTTTGAATCATGTCTTCAGCCGCTTGACATTTCAGACGAGGTTTTGTGTCACAATGACTCTGCATACTGCATTGCACCTGCCGAGAAGAACAGCCCAGTTAGTTTTTTCAAAATACCAAATCTTGAATCCAAAGCCTTTCCAGTACAGTTTCCAACCGGTGTGAACACGTTTGATGCAAAGAGACCTATTAAACTGACTCCAAGCAGGTATTTCAAATCCAGGCTGTTTCATGTTGATAACAGATTTGCCAGTGAAACTGAGTACTTATTCATGGCTCAATATGTGATTGAAATATATATGGCACGGTCAAATATGAGCATACAGCTACGCAAAGCCAAACCATTCACAAGAGCTGGACACAAAATAACCGCCGCAATGTTGAGAGACCAGAAGGAGGTGGAAAAACTCATCAGCCACAGGGATGTTTTAAGATTTATGATAAAACTCAGAGGAACTCCGCCTTACCATCATAAAACTAAGCTGGACTTGTATGCAATCGTTCGAACAATCGATAAGCCCACATACTTTGTGTCCTTCTCAGCAGCTGAACTAAGCCACTGGCCTGAGTTTGTTGAAGCAATAAAAGCACAACAAGGTGAAACAGTCAAATTTGAGGACCTAGACTGGGAAACAAAGACTGAAATTCTCAGGAGTAACGTAGTAACGACAATGAGAATGTTTGACAAGCGTGTAGAGGGTTTATTCAAATATTTGATCAACTCCCCTGCCCAACCACTTGGTAAAGTCAAGGATTACTTTTACAGAATCGAGTTTCAAGCCCGCGGAAGTCCTCATGTGCACGGACTAGTGTGGACCTCAGACGAAATTGACATTGAGGATGAGCAGAAATTCTGTGAGATTGTTGACAAATATATTTCAGCTAAACTTCCCGATCCAGACAAAGATCCTGAACTGTACAAACTGGTGTGTGAAGTTCAAATGCACAGCAAAAATCACACGAGAACTTGTCATATTACCACAAATAAAGGCTGCAGGTTTGGTTTTCCACAGTGTCCAGTCGAAGAGACCATGGTCACAAGACCTGAAAATTGTGAAAAAGTGTCAAAAAAATCCATGAAAAAGCTCAAGTCATTCAAGACCTTACTCCATAAACCAGAAAGCACTTGTCAGAAAACAGAGGAGGTTTTGAGCAAATGTGAAATGAATATGGAGGAATATGAACAATGTTTGCATGGCATGACCAAGTCCGCTAAGGTTTTGTACAAGCGTGAGCCGAAAGATGCTTGGGTAAACAATCACAATATCCAACTATTGAAAGCATGGAGAGCAAACATGGACATACAACCAGTTACCGGAGTGTATCCCTGTATACAGTACATCTGTGGCTATATTTCAAAGTCAGAGGCTGGACTCAGTGAACATTTGAATTCTGTTGTGAAGAATATAGGCAAAGAAAAACTGAATGAACGTGATGAGATGAAGGAGGTTATGCAGGCTTATTCCAAAAGCAGAGAAGTGAGCGCTCAGGAATGTGTGGCCAGAGCTTGTGGATTACATTTAAAAGGGTGCACTCGACAAGTGGTTTTCATGCCAACAGACACAAGTGTTAAAATGAGCAGACCCATGTCACAACTGGAAGAGTGTGATGATGATAACATCTGGATGACAAATCCTTTGGAGAAATATAGAGCACGACCTGAAACACAAGAGTTTGAAGAGATGAGCTTCGGTGACTTTATGTCCGAGTACAGATTTGTTTATGGCAGGGAGATAAACGGCAAAAATGTGAAACCACTGCTCAACGGTTTGGGATATGTGAGCAAGCTGAGGAAGAATCATATATTCAGATACAAGCGCTGGTCACCATTAAAGAACCCTGAAGAGTTTTATCGCACTCTCTTGACCGCATATTTACCCCATCGTGGAGAATTTCAGCTAAAACCTCCAGGATTTCCAACTTTCAAATCATTCTATGAAGGCGGTTGTGTGAGGTTAGCCTACGCAGATGAAGCTGTTGCTGTGAAAGAGATCGTGGATGAAAACTTGCAAAAGTATGAGAAATGTGGCCGAGCTGTAGATGATGCTGTAGCAGATCTGGAGAAGAATGGTGAAATGGTTGATGCATGGTGCAACCTTGCTCCTGAATCCGAAAGAGAGAGACTTGAATGTTTAGCGGAGAGGCAAGACAGAGATGATGATGATGATGTCCAAGAGAATGACCCAGATCTTATGCGTCAGTCAAATGTCAAACATGCCACATTCATTATGGAACCTCCAAAACTGGATCCTGCTTACAGACAGCAGTTGTATCAGAGTCTCAATCAGATGCAGGCGTGTGTGTTTTATTCTGTAAGAGACTGGTGCATTGAACGAGTAGAGAAACAAAATCCAGAACCGTTCTTTTTGTACATAAATGGTGGGGCTGGAACTGGAAAATCACATCTTATCAAAAGCATCCATGCTGAGGCTTCAGAAATACTGAGCAAAGTTGAAAGACATGCGTTTGAGTCAGACCCATCAAGGCCAACTGTCCTGCTGGCATCATTCACTGGAACTGCAGCTTTCAATATTAGTGGCACGACTCTTCATACACTGTTTAAACTACCCAGAGACATCGAAAAAAAGGGAAAAGAAGGACTTGGGAACAAGTTGGATGAAATGCGAGCTGAGCTTATGGATGTTGAGATTCTAATCATTGATGAAATATCCATGGTGTCTTTAGAAATATTTGAATGTGTGGATCATCGACTCAAGCAAATCAAAGGCAGTAGAAAATCTTTTGGAGGAATCTCAGTTCTTGCAGTTGGTGATTTTTATCAGATACCACCCGTTAGAGGACATCCTCTGTGCATCTATGCAAATCTCAGGCTGTGGAACGACAATTTTAAGATGGTAACTCTCACTGAGATCATGAGACAGAAAGACGATGTTGCGTTTGCTGAGATGTTGAATCGCATCAGAGTGAAAGAAAAAGCACAAGAGTTATCAGAGGCTGACAGAGCATTACTCTCACAGGCTGTCACTGAACCTGAAGATTGTCCTAATAATGTGCTGCACCTTTTTGCTACGAAAAGATTTGTTAAGGCACACAACTCTCAGACTTTGGCTCAGTTGCACGATGATGTCATCACTGTGAAAGCAGACGATTACAAAAAGGAGGCTCAAACTGGCAGAATGGAGTTACAGTCCAAACCTTTTAAAGGAGATTTTAGTGGATTAGATGCCAAACTGGAGCTTGCAGTCGGTGCCCCTGTTATGCTGACCAGAAACATTAATCTCTCTGAGGGTCTGGTGAATGGAGCTTTTGCTAAACTAGCCACATTTGTTTATTCCTCTACGAATCCAACACATGTTGAGAAGTTGGGACTTGATCTCGATAAGAAAAGCTCAAGCAGCAAATCTGGTTTGGTGTATGTGGAGAGGTGTGAAGAGTCTGAAAAGAATAGCTGTGTGCGCAGACAGTTCCCGATTAAGTTGGCTTATGCTTGTACAATACACAAGGTCCAAGGTTTGACAACATCATCAGCTGTGGTATCTTTGAGTCGAATATTTCAATCTGGAATGGGCTATGTCGCTCTGAGCAGAGTCACTTCTCTCAATGGTTTACGCATTATTCACTTGGATGAGTCCAAACTTTATGCTAATCCACATGTTACAGAGGCTCTAAATAACATGCAGACAGCAAACTTGGATCACATCATGCCGTTTTACCATGTGTCACAAACACTGGACAGAGACACCACATTCTCAGTAATCCATCACAACACTCAAGGCTTACCCTCTCATATACAAGACATCCAGAGTCATCATGAGCTGTGTCTTTCAGATGTTTTATGTTTCACAGAGACCAGACTGCAGTGCTTTGTTGCTCCTGCTCTTCATCTAGACGGTTATACTATGTATGAACGCAGCAGACATGTTTCATACACGCAAACCAGTGACATGGCCAACAAAGAGGGTGGTGGAGTTGCGATTTATGTAAAGAATCACATCGTTGCTCATGAAGTTCGATATGTGCAGAATGTTACTGATCTGGAGTTTGTGGTTGTGCAGGTTGAAGCTCCGTTCTGTGCATTGATTGTGACTGTTTACAGGCCGCCCACCTACAGTGTCAGTGCTTTCCTGAAAAACCTCACAGCCCTTTTGGAGAGCCTCGAGATGTTGGACATTCAGCCAATCATAGTCTGTGGTGATTTTAATGAGAATCTTCTTTTCTATGGAACAAAGCCAATCATGGAGATGTTTGAGTCAAGAGGATATGGACAACTGATCACTGCTGCTACCACGGACAGACATACCCTCCTGGATGCCATTTACATCTCACGACCACAGCTGTGTACCCATTCAGGTGTGTTGCGCACTTACTATAGCTATCATAGCCCTGTGTTCTGTGTTATTTCCATTCCATAAATGATCATGATGTTTTTAATGCTACCTAATATATTTTCAAATTTGTCACAAAATATCTATATTTTAGGAGGAGGTTCAGATGATGCAGATTATAAAGATTTAAAGGAGCACTGCAGTAAGAATATATATTTTTTACAGGTTTATAGACAATGCATGGACACAGGTCCACAGCTGGTGGGCCCCTACAGACATCTGCAGGTGGTGTGTGGGAGGGTCATGTCTGTAGGGGTCCACACTGCAGCTGTAGACCTCTGCATTCAATTGGGCGGGATTGGGATTAGGCCAGTTTCACACAAGATATATCATCTGCAATTTGACATCGTGTTTCTTTAAATTTACATATGAAATAATGATTAACAGATTTTTAATCTCAATAAATGTTATCCTGGTGAAATAGAGGTAAGAAATAGTTTAATATTCTGAATATACTAATACAATCATGTTCTTTAGCTTTCTGTGAATTTGGTACTGGAATAAATGTCTTAATATTAACTGTTACCAATCATGTGCTTTTGTACGGTGTATTTGACATAAACTGAGTATTATAATCATGTAAAACTGTGTGAAACTGGTCTAAGGATTATTGTATGCAGAGGGCAGCTTGTGTTCCATACAAGAAATGGTTTCCAGGTGTTATTGATCTTCAGTTTATAGTAATATATCTTTGTATATAGATTTGATTGTTTTTAATAACTCACAGGTTCTGGTTATAGTTGATATGGAGAAACAGGTTCATATTGTTAATTCTGAGAAACAGGTTCATATTGTTAATACGAAGAAACAAGTTTATATAGTTTGTAATGAGACACTGGTTTACATCATTTCTATTGATTGATATTTGTCCATATGGTTCATACTGACACATATAGTCTCAGTATGAATCGTATGTAATGGTAATTTTCCCATTATGTTTTTAAGCCCCTGCATGCATTGGGGGCATGCATGTAGGGGCTTAAAAAAAACATATGGGAAAGTCCATTGGCCCCTGTATCTGGGTGGGATGAGGTCTGACCTGTTTACACAGGATGCCTCATCTGCACCCATTTACTTCTTTTTTTTCCTTCTCAAGCTATCATTATCACTAATAATTAAAATGATTTAATTATTAGTGATAATTTTCCCATATGTTTTTAAGCCCCTGCAGGCATTAGGGGCATGCATGTAGGGGCTTTTTAAAAACATATGGGAAATCCTTTGTCCTCTGCATGCATCTGGGTGGGATGAGGCGTCCTGTGCCTCATCCCACCCATCTGCAGTGTGACAGTGTGCTTCTTTTTTATTAACAAACTAAGTTGATATTTTTCCAATTTATAATCATGCCAATTAATAAAATCACTGTTATAATGTATAATGTTTAGTAATTATTGTAATTATAGTACCTAATCAATTGTATTTTATATTAGTAGACACTGTCCCACTGCATCAGTAAACTCTAGACTTTTACAATAGTAAATATCCAGCCTTTAAACCTAATTGTATGAATATATGATTTAAGCTTCAAGTGATTTAATTTTTAATTTTCTTTGTCATAAATACTCAATGAGATTAAAAATCTCTTTTTCAAGAGTGTCCTTGCCAAGATTTAAGTGTCTATGAGTAACGCAGTACTGTGTGAAACAGGCCTATGGGCTGATGCATGCAGAGGCCAAAGTGTCCCACACCGGACACTCATTTTGATTTGTTTTAACTTGTTGTGCACCAGCTGACACCCACACCACTGATGTCACTTTGTGTGACATGGCAAAGAAAATGTTATGTTTTTCCTGTTTTGTTTTTTTACGAGGATTGTTATTAATTTATTTATGTTATTAACATTCGGACAGGCATTCGACACGTAATCCTGCCACCTGTCTTCTCTTAGTCTGTGTTGTTTTGATTTTCATTCTCTGTAAGGCACCTTGTGCACCTTTTGGATGTTGTTAAGGCGCTATATAAATTAATATTGACATTCAAAAAACACTGTAAGAATCTCCCACATCATGGACTCTTCAACCACAGCTATCTCCTCCACAACTTCACCTGTTTACCAGCTCCACCTGTTTACCAGCTCCACTTCCACAACTCCACCTGTTTACCAGCTGCACCTGTTTACCAGCTCCACTTCCACAACTCCACCTGTTTACCAGCTCCACTTCCACAACTCCACCTGTTTACCAGCTGCACCTGTTTACCAGCTCCACTTCCACAACTTCACCTGTTTACCAGCTCCACCTGCTCCACAGCGCCATCTACACCATCTCCAGATACTGCTACCGAACCTGATGCTGACCATCAACAACTTCACAGAGAGCATGAGAAGGTAGATTTGTAATTACAGTGACTATGTATTTATGATATAGCTAATATTGTATCCTTCCTGTAGGTAGCTGCTTGGTTTGCTTGTATGACTGAAAGGGGAAACCAGAGGATGAACCCTGGACTGTTCCAGATGCTGTACGTGCTCCATCCTTCTACCTGCTCCATCTGCTCCAATGCTTCATCTGCTGAAGAAGCTAATTCTGCTCCGCCACTGGTAAAGGCAATATTGCTATCAAACGTGATGCTATCCACAGAGAGCAAGGTAAATAAATCAGCTTGACTGATTTATTTTCTCTAACAACAATGATGTTGTTGTCTTGATATATTTGCCTGTTCTCTTTTCTGCTGGTAGCCTCTTTGCTAGCTTGCTTTACTGAAAGAGGAAACACATGTGAACCCTGTGAATGAGTCGCTGTGTGGAAGTGAATGCTGTCTCGAGTGTCTACAATGGCCCTAAACAGCTGTTCATGATCATTATTAACAGCAGGAAAAGGTAGATCAACATTAACATTAGTTATCATCTCTCTGAAGTCACTAAATAAATTCATATATTTGTTTAGAAGAAGTTCATATGTGATGCACCATGAAGCTGAGCACAGATGGTCAGATTGGCAGCAGTGATTAAGGTAAACAGCTTTATTTCATAATCATTTTATTTATTTATTTTCTATGCTACATGTGAGGCTTTGATAGAGCCAATGCAAATGTACATTCTTTTACAGAGTCAGTGTATCAGCAGAAACTCCAGGAAGATTGTTTTCAGCTCAGAAGGCTTGCTGTCTCCCAAACAAACCAGAGACAAGAGTCGATCAGCTCCTCTATGTCCCGGAGCTAGCCCAGTCGCAGTAACTTTGTCTTAAAGCTGCATTTCTGTCAGCAAGAGGTGGATTCTGGAGCAGTCCCATGAACACTGGGACTGGGATCATGGGACTGGAGCAGTCCCATGATAATAGTGCCAAAAAAAATAAATAACAATCCACCAGGGTGTGTAAACTTATTGGCACAACTGTATATATTGTTCTAATTTATGGCCCCCTCCTCCCCGCAGATGTTCCCATTGAAGTGGGAAAGCAAGACGGGCGTTCCTCTGCGGGATGTCCTTTTAGACCATGTCAGTATTTTTCTTTTTTGTGTACCTTTTACTTCAATTTGAGTACAAGTGTTTACTTTGTATTTTTTTCTTTTCTTTTACAGGGAGGGACACCACTCCAAGTGACACTTTGGAGGGAGGCCACCCTTTTGGAGCTCACAGAGGGAAAACATGTGGTCCTGCATCACCTTAAAGGCCACATGTTTGGAACTGTGTTTAAATTAAACAGCACAACCCTCACCACAATCAGTGTAGGTTTTTCTTCTCCTTCAGTGTCATTGTTTTTGTGTGTAATTGATTTTGTCCGATTGCTATTACTTTTGGGACTTCAGCGATTTCCGGTTTTTCCGCAATCGGACAAAAATCGGTCGATTTTTCCCATTGACTTATAATGGGGCTTCCACAAATTCATAGTTTTCAGAATTTTCTTCAACATTTTCAGCATTTTCTGCAGTTTGTGCATGTTCAGCTTCCACAACTTGTGAGTTTTCAGAAAAAAATAGAGTTCTGCAGTTTTCCAGTTTTTTTCTATGGGACTTGGGAATTCTGCCATTAATTTGCATTGAGAATTCTGCAATGCATTTTAATAGGCCCATGCATTTTAATAGGACTTCAGCTCTTTCAGACATTTCTACAGTTTCAATGATTCAACAGTTTCAAGGATTCAACAGTTTCAAGGACTTCAACAGTTTCAAGGTTTCAACAGTTTCAAGGACTTCAACAGTTTCAAGGACTTCAACAGTTTCAAGGTTTCAACAGTTTCAAGGACTTCAGTGTAATCATGCAACCTAATAGGGATTTTTCCATGTAAACCAGTATAATGCAACTTAATAGGGTTTTTTCATGTAAACCAGTATAATGCAACTTAATAGGGATTTTTCCATGTAAACCAGTATAATGCAACTTAATAGGGGTTTTTACATGTAAACCAGTATAATGCAACTTAATAGGGGTTTTTCCATGTAAACCAGTATAATGCAACTTAATAGGGTTTTTTTCATGTAAACCAGTATAATGCAACTTAATGGGGATTTTTCCATGTAAACCAGTATTATGCAACTTAATAGGGATTTTTCCATGTAAACCAGTATAATGCAACTTAATAGGGTTTTTTTCATGTTAACCAGTATAATGCAACTTAATAGGGTTTTTTCCATGTAAACCAGTATAATGCAACTTAATAGGGTTTTTTCATGTATAATGCAACCTAATAGGTTGCATTATACCACCAGACCAAGACCCAAACGAAGACTCAGACCACCACCAGATAATGACCACAGACCAGGTTTCCTTAGTTACAGGAACCAAATTGTTTCAGCGGTGAGGGGATTTTTCAGTTTCAAGGACACTTTCAATACATTCAGTAGTTTCAAGGATTTCAGCTGTTTAAGAATTTAACCAGTTTCAAGGATATCAGGAGGTTCAAGGATTTCAGGAGTTTCCACACTTTCAACAGTTTCCAGGTTTAAAAAAGTTTCAAGGATTTCAGGAGTTTCAATGTTTCAACAGTTTCAAGGATTTCAGGAGTTTAAAGGTTTCAACAATTTCAAGGACTTCAGGAGTTTCAAATATCTATCAAGTATTTTAACAGTTTCAAGGCTTTTTAAAGGATTTCAAGGATTTTTTTTAGCAGATTTCCACATTAGATCTGTTCCGCAGTCAATCGCAATGGCTTCAGCCATTGCAAGTTTCTAGTTATTAATGGTTTGGCCCTGGTTCTAACCGGGCGAGTCGATACCAGAACAATTTCACGTCAGCGAACATCAATTATGATTCTGAAATGAATGCTTTCAATCTCTAACCAAGAAAAAAAATCGAGTTTCAACCCAGTGTTCAGCAGAAACACAGCTGTCTTTATGGAACAATGACTGCGTTTAGTAAAAGATATAGATGTGACCCATAACACCAACACCACTTTAGCTGATTTAGAACCACAGACACATGTTCAGTATACGACCAGATACTTTTGCATTTGATTGAAGACAGACACTCACCAGGCAGAGTTGAGGCTTATCTCCTGGTGTAGCTGGTGCTAGCTGGTTTTAGCATGTTAGCCGGTGTTAGCCGATGTCCGTAAATTTAATCCATTTGGTCAAACCACCTCCAGACTTTTTGGTTCTGCCTCTACTTCTGCTGCTGTGATCTTTCATTTCACGGTTGTCACTTTTAAGCTTTTTAATTTTTCTCTGCATTGTGATGTCCGTGGGAATCATTCTGCTCCGTCCTTAGCGCTAGCTCCACAAACACCTTCTGGTTTCTGGTGGAACCATCGAGCTCACACTGGTGTCCTCTCCTCAAACTGAGGAAGGTGTTGCCCTCATCCTGCGACCAAGGAACTGTTTTCCGTACGGACGCCATGGGTCGAGGCAACGTGTTGTTTGTTATGATATTTGCAACAGCTGAGGCAGCAGCTGCAGAGTGACTGACCAATCAGAATTGACGTTCGCCGACGTCAGATTGTTTTGGCGGCCCGGCTAGTGGAGTGAAGTCGGCCTTTACTATGGGTCAGAACAATGAATGGCAGCGCCACCACCGAGGCGTTTTTGACGCTTGTCATGTGAAAGCCCAAGAGCCGCACGGAACCAGCCAAAGAGCCGCATGCGGCTCACGAGCCGCGGGTTGGCCACCCCTGACTTAAGTTATGTGTGATATCGACATTTTCTCACCCTACATTACCTTACCTTCAAAATGTCTGAAATTGGTGAATTTTTAAACTATTAAAACAATCTATGGGCTGGAAACAAGAGAGAAAGTTCACGTTCACAACATGTAATCCAATATGGCAGCATGATTTGATGCCCACCTTTTTGAGAAAACTACCCACAATGCCTTGCGGTCGAGCCGGAAGCTCGGAACTCTTAATGCATGTATTGCTCTAAAACTAAACATGGCAGAGGGCAACAACAATAACATTGTGGCTCAAAATCAGGTATATAACTATATTTTATCATTTTGGTCGTAAATGAATGTGTAAGAAATATTGATTCCATAAAATGTGTTCATAAGAAAATGTTTCTTGTCCCTCTCTAGAAATATTTTGTTTTTCTGCAGTGTTTGGTAAATGCTAGCTTCAATGCTAGTTTTACAACTTACCATGTTCTTTTAAAACCAACATGTTTACATTATTAGCATTTACATTTTATGAAGCCTTGGCCCCGAATCAATGTGGTTAATGAGTTGATACCAGCCCCAATCCTCCAGATTATTCATAGTTCGTGCTGTTACTGCCCCAGAGCAATATGAAGAACACCTCCGTGCTATACTCATCCTTGGTTGTTAGACGTAGCAGACCCTGTGTACCCTTTCATTTCATTTCATTTTTGTGAGTAAATATGACACATTACTTTTACTCACTACTTCAGTAACGCTAGTTAGTCTGTTGTAAGCATGCCAACTAACTAGGTTCGGCTAGCGGGACCTAGCACACAGAAAATCCAATAAGTTAGGCCTAATTAAATGGTTTATCAGATCAATACAAATAAAGCGGATGAAATATGTAATAAAATAACAAAGTAAAATGCATTATTTTGAAAAAAAAATAAAGCATTGGAGCCAACAACACTGCCAAAAAACCTTTTCTAGAGAGGGACAAGAAACATCTTCTTATGAACACATTTTATGGAATTAATATTTCTTAAACATTAATTTACGACCAAAATGATAAAATATAGTTATATACCTGATTTTGAGCGACGTTTTTAGTGTTGTTGCCCTCTGCCACGTTTAGTTTTAGAGCCATGAAGTTGATCAACTCTGCGCAGGCTCGATTGTTAATGTCTGTGAGCAGTGACGTAATATTGACAGTTTGCTGACTGCTGAAATTTGTATTCTCAAAGAAGAAAATGCAAGCACATTAAAAAAAAAAATATTCACAAGTACAAAATCACACATAGTTTTATAGTTTTTTATTCTTAATTACGAAATTCCATGTCTTTTGAGTTTGTTTTATCTTGATCATGAATTAATAAAATATTTTTA